TATTCTATTCTATTCTATTCTATTCTATTCTATTCTATTCTATTCTAATAATATAGGAAATGCTCTGATGGTCATTTCAAAAAATCCTTAGAAGCCAGGAGGAAGGTAAGTGCCAAATTTCAAGGTTGTAGGCTTGACGGTTCTGGAGATTTTGTGATGATGCATGAGCGGCATTTCGCTTTTATAAATATATATAGATTATCTATTTATGATCCAAAACAGGGGCCTTCAAACTTGGCAGCTTTTAAGACTTGTGGGACTTCAACTCCCAGAATCCCTAAGCTAACATGACCAGAGGAGGAACTCTGGGAGTTGAAGTCCACAAGTCTTAAAAGCCGTCTAGTTGGAAGATACCCCCCCCCCCATCCAAAGGGAAAGCGGGACCCAAATCCGTTGCTAGGATTCATGCTTTGTGTGTGGGGAGGGGGAGCAGTGCATTCTGGGAACAGAAGCCGCGCTGCCTTCTGATTGCGCGGGAATTGATTCATTAGCGCAATCTCGCTCTCCGAGTGTGACGGATTGGCGCATAATTTTGCGAGGGGGGGGGAAGCTGCTGGCACTTCGGGGGTCGCTCTCCGGGGAAAAGCCCACACAGACACACGCGCGCGTGCGCGTGCCCCCAACCTTGGCAACTTTAAGCCTGGCGGACTTCAACTCCCAGAATTCCCCAGCCAAGTCCCGCCCCCTTTGTGAGGCGAAGGCGCCGCCGACCGTGGGGTCGCGCGGAGGCCGCGGCGGCACGCGCCCTCCCGACGACGACGACGACGACGACCGGGGGGGGGGGGGGGCGGGGGGCGCGCGCGCGCACGCAGGGCCGGCGTCCCGCGCAGGCGCGTTGGGCGCCGTGGCCCGGTTTTGCATGAGGCGGCTGTGGTGGCGGGCCTGTGGGCGGGCGCTGGGCCGGCTGCACGCGGGCCTCCTGCGGGCCCTGCTGTGGCCGCCGGGCTCTCCCCCTCCGCCGCCGCGGCCGGCCGCCTCGGAGGTGCTGACCCTCCACCTGGTGCAGCGCCGGCTTCCCCACTGGACCTCCTTCTGCGTCAAGTACAGCGCGGTGCGCAACGACCAGTTCGGCCGCTCCAGCTTCAACTGGGCGGTGCGCGGCGCCAACTACCACGTGCTGCGCACCGGCTGCTTCCCCTTCGTCAAGTACCACTGCTCCCGCGGGCCCCGCCAGGACCTGGACGCCCAGGACGCCCTGCTGGCCGCCCTCAAGCTGCTCAACCTGGGTGAGCCCGCGGGCGCCCTCTTGCAGGGGCGGGGCGGCGCCAAGGGGTTGGGCGGGGCGCGCGAGTGACCCCGCCCCCTCTGTGTTTTTGGGGGGTGGGGGGGCTTCAGCCCGGCTCCCCCTCTCAAGAAGGGCCCGGGCTTCCCCGCCTCCGTTGCGCCGGTTAAACCAACCTCAGGGCCGTCTTAATAGCCTTGTGGGATCCCCGGGCAAAGCAGTGTCCTGGGGCCCCTACGGCGACAGTGACTCAGAGGAATAAACATGTAAAACGGTCGATAAATATATATTTGCATTTTAGTATTAATAAATTAATTTACCTACTCACCTAGATCCGTATCTCTCTACTATCTATCTATCCTCTATCTAGCTTTGTCTTATCTCTAGACAGTCACTTATTTGAAATGGTGTAAATTCTCCTGCTTGAACAGGGGGTGGACTAGAAGACCTCAAAGGCCCCTTCCAGCTCATTCATTCTATTCTAAATGCCAATCCTATTCTATTCTATTTCTATTCCATTCCATTCTATTCTTGTCTATTATATTCTAATACAGGGGTGGGCAACTATGGCCCTTTTATGAATTATGGACTTCAACTCCCAGAATTCCTGAGCAAGACATGCTAGCTCAGGAATTTTGGGAGTTGAAGTCCACAAGTCATAAAGGGGCCATAGTTGCCCACCTCGGTTCTAATATCTGTCTGTCTATGGT